CTGAGTGACACCGGGACACGGGATAATTTCTCGCCAAAAATGACGGTTCTCCTGCGGCATGCCGCTCTTTGAACCCCATGGAGAATTATCTACCCCTCCCTCCTCCATCTCTTCATCAGAGTCTTCTCCCTCTTCCCCATCCTCGTCAGGGGCCTACTGGGACAAAACTTTCATGCTCCGAGTCCACAGAGTCGTCGTCAGAAGACAAGCTTTCCCTGCTGGAGACTGTTGGTTCCTGCTGGGCTTCTAGCTCATAAAAAAGTTCACAGGCTTGTGATACATTGAGACGTCATGCCATTTTTGAGGAAAAAACTAATCCCAATCTGAACCGTCTATATAAGCATTTTCAGCAAGGACACAAGAGTAAACATCGACTGATGCAGGGGTTTGATTTTACAGGCTGCATCTTTGAAGTTATAGCTGTTGATTCATGAGCTTTGATCTGTTCAAAAAGTTGGATTCTTGTTGGCATTACAACTTGCAACAGTAAATAAGTTGGTAACTAGAAAATTTGCAGCATATTCAGTTTACATCTAGCTACCACAAAGTTTTGGTGTAGATCAAAGAGTCTTACAGTGACATAGAAAGCCCCGCCCCCAACCTCCACCACCCACCAAAGCATGAAAAAATCTTTCCTCTGGTAATTTGTCAATTGCATTGAGTTATAAGTGCATGTATGTGTGCAGAAACACACACAAAAAGCACACACAAATCTGTTGTTTAGAATATTGCCCTGATATTGTCACGTTGAGGGGATGTTTGGGACCCAAATATGCAGATTTACCCAGGATGACTCGAGGCAGAAGTTGGTGAGGTAAAAATCCCTTTATTTTGGAAGAACAAAAAATAAATCCAAGGCAGCGAGTCTAAAGTCCAAAAGTCCTGGAGCACAGGACACCCAAAGCTCTCTTAGAGCACCAAAAACCTGGAGACCAAAAAAGGCTCAGACAGAGCACGCACAAACGCTGACAGAAATACAAACAACAATGGACCAACAAGACACAGGGCTTAAATACACTGGGGCATAATGGGAGGATGATGAGCTGCAGGTGTGAGGGGAGAGAACCAGGTGAAAGTGATAACTAATCAGGGAGGAGGAGCAGGAGAGGACACCAGACCTAACTGGGAAAGGACACACACACACACACACACACACACACACACACACACACACACACACACACACACACACACACACACACACACACACACACACACACACACACACACACACACACACCTAGCTGGAGGAGGACATAAACACACACACACACACACACACACACACACACACACACACACACACCTAGCTGGAGGAGGACATAAACACAAACACACACACACACCTAGCTGGAGGAGGACATAAACACACACACCACACAAAACTGGAATAACAGACCTATGGAAATGATGGTGGGGAGACTGAAGGAACACAGGACCTGAGAGGGAATATCTGGAGGGCTGAAGACCAGGGGACACAAGAGGAACACAAAGAGACACAGACCATGACAGATATTAGACTTTCGGTGAGAACTGATTTTTCTAATGAAAACTGAAAAAAAAAACATAGTCACAAAAATTATGAAAACACACACGCCCACTAGTCAATGACATCTCTAAAACACACTCAAACAATAATTGTTCAAATAAATTATTGCATCGTGAATCCAGGGGCCACAAAATCTTCAAAACATAAATTACTAAAGTGTATTATAAATCAATGCCCTGCCATTTATAGAGATTTCATGCCATTTGGTGGAAAATGCACACACAGGTGGAGTGAAATAAAAAATATTTATAGTGATATTTAGCTTTGTTAGAAAAATGTTGTTTGAATGGGAGTCTATAGCACCAAAAAATGTCCAGGGACCTCAATGTTCCATTTTTGTCTATACAATGTTTTAAATGGAGTAGAGGGGGGACATTTTATTTTTAGTAAACTTACCCAAAAACACACACCAGAGCAAAAAATAAAAAGACTTGCATCAACACAGCCAAAGTTATTCAAAAAACAACATGACCTCCTGCGCAAAGAAATGCATGAGGGACCTCTAAGGTTCATCATAATATTGCCATAAAGCAGCACAAAGTGAGAGCGGGAGATGAAAAAAAGCAGCTTGGTCACTTTGATGAAGCCCGCAGATACAGCGTACATCTGTTAGCCGGGCTGATGGATAGCATAGGTGAGTGAAAGGCCAGGCCACGCTACAAACAATAGAGGGACACTTCCAGGTCCGGCTCCAGGAGGCCTGTTTGGTCCAGATAGCTGTGACATTTGACTGTGTGTGTGTGTGTGTGTGTGTGTGTGTGTGTGTGTGTGTGTGTGTGTGTGTGTGTGTGTGTGTGTGTGTGTGTGTGTGTGTGTGTGTGTGTGTGTGTGTGTGTGTGTGTGTTAATTGCTGAGACCCGGCTTTAGCTGTTAAAGGAGGCAGAGTGAACAAGTCATCAAGGCTTTAGCCTCGATTGTGAGAAGCTTTAGTCAGCTTATGTCTAGTACTGAATATAGACAAGTAAATAAATTAAATCTGACATCCAGGTGTGATAAAAGCACATCACTGAAAGAAAACTTTACTTATTGAATAGAGTACAATCACGCCACGACTAGTTTTACATCTCATTAATAAATTGGAGATCATCTGCGTGAGTGGGTGCATGAGCGTATGTGCGTTGTTAATGTTTTCAATGCTTTTCTCCACCTGTAGCCTTGAAAACTGCCACGCAAGTAAGATAAATGACCAATTTTTATAATGTAGCTAAAACCTGCTAGCCTGGCAAGCTATATGTGTTAACACAGTCTGGCCATGACTCATGGACAGAACTCAGGGTAATGGAACTTTGTGGCATGCGTGCGTCTCTACTTCACCGGGTCGGCCCTAAGGAACTGCTTTCCGAGCCATTTCAGGAACCATGGGAGTACCATTTACCTGAAATGGGGTTGATACACGGAGTGGCCAGGTAGAGACTCTGGGCGGGACTTCTAGTTACCTCCTGCTGATTGGTTCTCTGGAGGTTTCTTCCTGTTAAAAGGGAGTTTTCCTCTCCACTGTCGCTGCATGCTTGCTTAGTATGAGGATTGCTGTATAGTCACTGACACTAGTCAGTGACTTGATGCAATTTGCTGGGTTCCTTATATAGGAAACATTATTTCTGATTGGCTTAATGAACTGACCTGAATTAGAATGTTTATTATGTGAAGTGCCTTGAGACGACTCTTGTCGTGATTTGGCGCTATATAAATAAACTTGAATTGAAATGAATTGAATTGAATTGAATTGGTTGTATCCCACTAGGAAATGACAGACGTCGCTAAAACAATCGGCATAACTGGACGAGTTGCTAATGAAACAGAATGGAAGAAAAATAAAATAAGCAGTTTTGAAACTGCTTCGAAATCATCGTTTCTAAACTGGAACACCCCCTCACACACACACACACACACACACACACACACACACACAAGGCCCTAATTCACTGCACTTTATGGTCTCAGAGCACCATGAAAAAACAACGCTTCCTCACACAGCTGGTCTCACGGTCCCCTGAATGATTTAAATTAGGATGCATATCGATGGAATAAAACTTTATTAATGTTAACAAAGTCCGTGGACACCTTTTGGTGCTGATCAGTGACATCACTCACTGCCGACGCAGTGGTGATATGCTGACGTCTCAACAAAGTCCTGAAAGGGCCAATTTTACTTGAAGATGCAACAGCTGAGAGGACAAAGCCACCGTATCTTCCCCGTCACTTTGCTGGTAGTGGTCAGAGGCACCGGTGGCGCCAGTGCTCGGCAATCTTGCCTCTGTCAGTGTGCCCCAGGGCTGCTGTGGCTACATCGTAGCTCATCCCCACCAGTGTATGAATGTGTGAATGACTGATTGTGTTATGAAGCGCCTTGGGGGGTTGTAGAACCCTAAGAAGACACTATAAAAATACAGGCCTTTTACCATTTACTTTTCCTTCTCTCAGAACTGTCATAGTGAAGACACGGCAATAAAGCGCTGTGATTGGCCCGACCTGAAATCATGGGCCAATGGTAGACCTGCTGAGGGTACTATGGAGCGTGACTGGACTGAATCTTTTGCTAATGCTACGATTTGTCTAGATCTCCAGGACGTGCTGCTTCGTCATGATCTGCTAAACTTTATGTGGAAACCAGTTCCTTTTGGAAAAGTTTTTCATAACAATTATGGATTTCTCATGACATTTCTCCACCTCCTCGGATTATGTCACTTCTCAGCTATGATTCTTAGCGTGAAAGCTCGACTAAATTACATGCAAATCTCTAAATCTGCTTTTGCTCTGTCTCACTATGAAAATTCATCAGACGGCAACACATCACTCACAGACGGCTCTCGTCACCTGCTGTGAGAGAATTGTTGGGGGGAAATTCTTGCAAACAAAACGCTTTAAAAGGTTCAGATTTATAAAGTAGGATCTACTGAAAATAAAAATATATTTTTTTTTTATTGTGTTTGGAAACATTAAGGAGTTCAAAAGGGAAGTGAGACAACTTGGTTGCACTTTAGGGTGGTTGGACCATGTTCTTACAGAAAATGGTAATGCAACTACTTCTTGGAAAATATATTTCAATCAGAATTTTCCCTTTTGAAGTTCCTATTAGCTTCCTTTGGGATTCCCGTTAACTTCGATCCTCACGCACATTTTTTTGTAACGCATCTGTCATGGCTGCTCAACTCTGATCATGGAGCAAAAAAAAAAAGATTAAAAAGACATTCATTTTAATTGTTATGTGGCATAAATTTTTTTTGTTCCTTACTAAATGACTGAAAGCTCCAGAATGTAAATCCACGTTAGCACATGAACAACTGCGCTTGCACGGCTGTAATCGTTCAGACCTCTCAGGTTATGCTGAGTGACGCCACGTGGGATTTGAGACCGAGAGCAAAATGATTGGCAGAGAAATATATGGAAAAGGATCAAAAGTGTAGCAGTGGGAATATTACTGCATGCGTCTAATTTTCTGTGTTTTTCCCAGACGTAGACACCACCAAGGACCCCTGTCAGAAGGTTAAGTGCAGCCGACACAAGGTGTGCATCGCCCAGGGCTACCAGAGAGCTGTGTGCGTCAATCGCAAGAAGCTTGAACACAGGTGTGTGTGTGTGTGTGTGTGTGTGTGTGTGTGCGTGCGTGTGTGTGTGTGTGTGTGTGTGTGTGCGTGCGTGCGTGCGTGCGTGTGTGTGTGTGTGTGTGTGTGTGTGCGTGCGTGCGTGCGTGCGTGTGTGTGTGTGTGTGTGTGTGTGTGTGTGTGTGTGTGTGTGTGTGTGTGTGTGTGTGTGTGTGTGTGTGTATGTGTGTGTTGCCCAGGAGCGGAAACTGAGTAATTCCCCAAATGTAAAAATGTCCTCACACACGCTGACTTGAGGTCAACACAAGCAGTTTACAGTGGATGCTTGACTGGATTGCGTTTAGCTGCAGGCCAGAGTGGGAATGATGTTTGTGCGTTCAAGTGGCACGACATCCTGCTGTTTAATGACAAGCTAATACATTCAGACAACATGGAGGAGGATGTTTGCGTCACGCGCTCATGCTCAGCTCGGAGCTGCTGCGTCTGAACTCTGAATTAACAATCCTTGTCTCAGCTGGACACAATGAGGCTGAAGTGTTTGCGTGTCTTCCGTCCTGCAGACTGAAGCAGCCCACTCTCCGGTCTCCCGATGGGAACTGTCAACCCTGTCCCATCTCCTCCACCGGGCCTGTGTGCGGATCAGACGGACACAACTATGCCTCCAAGGTGCAACACGTGCAAGTACACACCAGTGGAACAGAACTTTGTGGTTAAATGTTTTTGTGGGTGTGAAAACATTGTTTCACAATGTCTTCAAATTGTTATGATTATTTTTTAAATAGCAGAGGAAATGTTTTTATATATCATGTTTTGGTGAAATTTAAATGACAACGTAATGCTACAGTTTGTGTTTCTGTTCATTTATGTTGACTCGATCTTTTGAATGTTTTTCTTTCCTTTAAACTAGAGATCGACTGACATGGGTTTTTCTGTTGCTGTCACCATTGCCAATAAGTAGAGGTCTTGGACAGCCAATGGTCGACACCTGTGGAGTTTTCTAGCTTATCTGCATGCTAAAATGACACAGTGGATGCACAACACCTCTGAACCTGCTCAGGATCTGTTTTTGAATTTAACCAACTGTTGAGTCTTAGTTTTGTGCTCAAAATTAAAATGAAATGTTTAACCAGAGTGTCAGAGTGTTGCTGGTAAGGTAGGACCCAAATGCAGGAAGGTGTAGAGATGAGATCCAGGAGGCAGCCGGTTATGGTCAAACATGTAAAAGTCTTTATTTACAAGGACCAGGACCTGGAGCAGAACAGAGATACAGGATGAGGAAGGGACAGGGAACTGGGAACTGAGCTGGGCATAAACGGACAGGGAGTGAATACAAAGACAATGGAACAAGTGAGATGATTGGTAATGATGACAAGGGCCTACAGGTGTGGCTTAAGCCTGGAATATACTTGCTTTTTGATGCGTTCTCGTGTTTAAAATGGCTGCCTCGCGTAACTTGCATTAATTTGGAGCTTTGTTTGTGCTGTAGCGTCATAAATGTCCTGTTTTTGACCTAAAGGTCATGATCTGCTGCATCTGCTCGAGCAGAGACATAAAGTCTCTGACACAGGCCTAATCTACATGAGATAGTGGCCACGGTCTTTCATGCACTCTGCTCATCTGAACTGCTTCACCTCTGTTACAGCTCAAGACGAGGACGAAGAACTCTCTTGATAAATAGATAATCAACAATGTTTGTTATTGCCAATAATAATGTGAGCCCAATGTTCAATCAATCTGTGAAATGACAATGTTATTACTTGATATTATAATCCTATGATCAGTAGTATTTTACAAGTAATTATAATCTTGGACATTTGCACTAGACACTGATGACACGTAATGCTAAAGTCACACGACACATTTCCTTTTGTCTGATCCAATCAGAACCTTCGTTTCTGGCAAGGCGTGGTTTTCTGTGGTGTTTTTATAAACCCTCTTTTGCATGTCAAATTCTGATTCGTCAGTAAACCAAAATATGACAATTATATAAACTATCCGACGACACCTTTTCTTTAGTTCAAAGCGTTCTAGAGAAGTCTCGGACAGGCCATCCGAACTTCCTCTTCAGCCAAAATAACCTAGACAAGCTGGATAAAATCTGTTGCATGTTACACCTGACCGCAACGGTTCCTTCAGAATAAAAGCTGAACCTCACGACCCCTTCAGGGTCTCGGAGACGCCAGTGATAACCTGCCGTGACCTGGAAGCATTCCAAGACTAGTTTGGTCGGCACCACTGCTTTTCTACCGGCTTCGGTTCCAAAGAGGGTCCAAGAGGACCTTAGCATTCTGGATCTAATGGGGGCTTCCCCTGCGTACGTAGACCGACAGATGGCGTTTCATGTGTGTTATAAATCTCCAACCAAAGTTTAGAGCGAAACATTCACTCCCACTCAGAACTAACTGCTTCTCCAGATCCGCTGGTTCTGAATAACATTCCACACACACACCATCATCATTCATCACATCTCACTCCACCTTAGTCCATCAGTACACAGAGTTAGTCTTGTTTAAATTGTGTAGAAATAAATTTCTTAACTATTATAAACCTGACTCTCCCTCTTTTTCCTTGGAGTTAATACGACGTGTCACCTAATCCCTGCAATAAAACGTTCTGATCTTCTGGTTAAAATATTCAAAGATCCATCAGATTTATATTTCATATTTCTATGGAATCTCACATTTTATGGTTCATAAGTAAGATGTAAACGACCCATTCTTTACAGTGCGCATCCCCCAAAAATAACGTGACGCATTCACACTGCAACATACGAGTAACCAGTAGGCGGAGTTGACAAAACGAACGAGACACACACCATGGTTACTCCGTCTCTGGTGTATAGGTCTTCCATACTATCTACGATATCACTGCTGTCTTTTTTCTGTCGTGATCTCAAAATTAAGCAGTTACTTGATCTTTTCTACCAATGCCATGTTCATGTGTTGGTTGTACCCTACAAACCCGGGACTCTATCCGGTGTGAGTTCTCTACCGTGCCCCCTAGTGGAACACTCCAGTACTACCTGCAGTGCAGTTCGGTGCAGACAGCCTGCTGCCTGCTTCAACACGAGGCTAAAAAGCAAGTATATTCCAGGCCTAACTGACAGAGGAGTGGGAGGTGATATAAAACACAAGAGGAGGAGAACTGATGACGAAACAGGACTAAACAATAAAACACAGCAACTATAAAAGATGGCTGAGTGGAATAATCTAAACGGGGAAGATAAGAAAGAATAACAGAATCCAAATGCTCTAAGACTAGCTAAAGATGATAATAATAATGATAATAATAATGAATAAACTAAACTAATAAAAACAGAAAACAGAGAATAAGAGAGGAACAAAAGAACCAAATAAAACTAATGCAGGGACCCAGGGAGAGAGCAGGAGAAAAATAAGGATAAACTGATGAACTAAAAACTAGGGGCAAAGGTAAACAGAAAGCTTAACTAGGGAAAACAGGACACAATAAAACAAAAACATCAACATAACTGAATCTAATAGGCTGGGGGGAGTAAAGTAAACCATAAACTATTAAGCAAACCACATAATTCTAATCTATAATAAGATCAAGTCTATAAAAGGAGAGAACAATGAAGTACTGGGGCTGAGGAGTGGCTGGGAACAGGGGATGAATGTAAAGGCTGAATGATCACATGAATTAAGGGATCAGGAAGCACAAGAGGAGAGCGGGGACATGGAAGGGTCTTGGACACAGGACATGACACAGAGTTAACCGAACAAAACGATAAAACGATATATATAACGATAAGTTATAAAACAGGTGAATAAAAAAAGTGTTTTTCAGTAATGTACCTTTACATTTAGATCAAATTCAAGAGCAGCACCAGGCTACCCACAGATGTGGCTGTTTGACTCTAATAAAGAGGTGTATCAGTCTATCTCTACTTTAAACCTGATTAGGTGAAAATGTATTTGTTTTATTTATTTTTATCCCTTCCAGATGGCCAAAAACAATCCTCGAGTATTTTTATGATTAAAGCGTGGGAACAGACAACACTGCGTTCCCCTCGATGAGGCAGTAATTATTATGTAAATGTATCTGTATGTTCTGCTTACAGCATATGCAATTTGCAACTGTGTAGAGTGAGGAGTTGCTCACACACACACACACACACACACACATATATTTATTCACCACTTCAAATCTGCGGTTCATGTTCAGACGTAGTAAAGTGTATTTAGGGTAAAAACTCCTTCTTCCACTCGGAGCTGAGCAGATCTTCTCGGGGGATAAACTGACACAATGAGCCCTGATGTGTAGCCTCACAGGGACCAATTGGTGGCTTGTGGTGACAGAGTCCTGTGTGTTTATTGATTAATGCTTTGTCTTTTGGATCTCTGCTCCTGACCTTGTGTGTGAGCTGAGGCTGGATGGCACGTTTAGGGGCAGGTCTCGGATTTGAATCGCAGCTTACAGTCAGCCGCCTCATGAATATTTGATCTATATTGCAGCAATAACTCATTTTAGTTCACCTTTGTGTCCCCTTGTTGGCGTGCTGCTTTTGTGTGTGTGTGTGTGTGTGTGTGTGTGTGTGTGTGTGTGTGTGTGTGTGTGTGTGTGTGTGTGTGTGTGTGTGTGTGTGTGTGTGTGTGTTAATGAATGTATGTTCGGATGTACGTTGCAGTGCAAGCTGGAGCAGCAGGCGTGTCTTACAGGGAAGGATCTCACTCTGAAGTGTTCAGGTCTGTGTCCTTGTCCAACTGCAGCTCCAGAAACCAAGGAGGCTAAACGTGGTAAGATCAGAATCTTTGACAAAATAAATAAACAAATAAATGTCTCATCTTTAGACTAAACCTTTACAAATGCCCTCTCAAATCACATAAATAAGAGCAACAAAAATGTACGTATGTGCAGAGAGCTGTACCGGACAGGATCTGTCCGATCTCGGCGAGCGTCTGAGGGACTGGTTCCAGCTTCTGCAGAGCAATGCCAAGCAGAACAACAACAGCAAACCTGGAGCCAGAGCTACTGCAGCCAGTTCCACATCAGGTTAGAGCTCTGAGTATACGAGGGAGGCCTGTTGTTGCTCCCATTTGCATGCTGCTGGGACGATTATCTGGTTCACAAATCATTAGTTATCTAGTTAGATTAATGATTTGGAAAAAATAAACTCAAAGTTATGACATTATTGTTAGACAACAGACAGAAGCTGTTTGAAAGGGGGATCATAATAATGTTATATTATGCATATTAAAGCCTGACAGCAGAAAACACAACCTCTAGAGTAGATTAGGTTTTCCAGGATCTCATAAAAGACCAATTAATTTTCAAGTTGACTGAAAAACTAGTATTTTACTGTCTGGGTGACATCAAATGACCTCAGACATTTACATTATGTCTTCCCACTGGACTGGACTGGTTTTATCTTGGCTTTTTATCTTTTAAATCAGTTGGGATTTTATCTGAAAGAATAAGGTTGAATCTTGAGCCTTGAGGACAGGCAGCATTACATTCCTAATATGTGGTGTTGATACATTTAGTGATTCACAAGTTCAGGATGTTAATTCAGGACAACCCTCTCTTGTTCTCTATAGTTGTGATTGATTAAAAAACACTTTTCCAGGGACAAAATCTAGGTTGACTGTGCATTTATTCCTGCTCCATGCTACTACTTTTTTAGCTGCTATTTTATAAAAGAAAGAAAATAGAGATGAAATGAACAAACAGCATAAACCCTTTTCAATAAAGCTGTTTTCTTCTCAAATGCAGCACTTGACCTTTAAATATGGGCTCTTGATTTAATTATTTTAATTAGTTTTGTTTTCCCTCAATCAAAGACTTTTCATATTGGTGACATGCTGCAGTTTCCGTGGAGATGGCTTGTTTGCTTACTTGCGCTCTTTAGTGTTACGTTTCATTTATGCTCTCACAAATTTGACTAATAAAGAGTAGAAAAATAACATAAGAAAGTTTTTTTAAAAAGCAATGAGTGCAAGAAAAGATTGTGAAGGAAAGTGAAATGGGTCGTGAAAAGGAGGAAGAAAGTAAAAGTATAGATTTGGTTACTGATGTTTGATTTTATTGGCCTGCCATTGTGTGTAATTTGGTTATTGCTCTTTTAATGACGCAACTTTAACCTATGCACAAATTATACATCAAACTCTACTTCAAAATGTCAAAATATGACAAATCTGAGGTTTAATTTTGAGATATTTTTCTTTATTTGGGCACAACTGTCCTAACTTAAAATGAAGTAAAGTCATTTTTTATTTTTCGTTTATTTCATTCAAAATAAAAACAAATAAAACATATAAACAATAATATATACATGACAAAAAATCAAATTTGAACGAAAAGGAGCAGAATGAAGAAAAACATCTTATAATTTCTGCCCCCCTTTTCCAGAAGAAATAATCTATTTATATACAATTTCCATTTGTCAGACACACATACAGATTCATTTAGAACTTTTTCCTGTTCTTAATTCCAGTGCGATCATGATCATTGATTTAATTTACATTTTCATAATTATTTAGTACACTCAATTTGGTACATTTTTTGAATATATTAAATGACAAGAGTTTTTTTAATTTCCCTTTTAAGGTTATTCCATAATTTAACACCATTTACAGATATATTACATTCCTTAATTTTAGTTCTAAATCTAGGTTTTGTAAACACATCAGTTTCTTTCAGCATGTAATTACTACTTCTCTTTTCAAATATCTCCTGAATGTTTGTTGGCAGAGTACCTAAATTGGCTTTAGTTTGTAAGATTTTCCAGTCTTTTAAATCATGAAATTCCAGTAATTTATATTTAACTAGAAAAATTGCATTTACTGCATAAATGCTGTTTGAATGCTGGATAGCTGAAACTGTGAGCTGAAGCCGCTGAACAGCTGAACTGAAGCTGAAATTAAGCAAAACTGTCAAAATGAGCTGAATGTATTGAAAGATGTAGAAGCAAAAAGCACCAAAAAGCAAATAAAGCACAAAAAGTAAGTGAAGAATAGAGAAAAATAATGCTAAATAGCAAAAAAAAAAAAAAAAAAAAACTTCAATCTGTGAACATTGTCTAAAAATCTGGACAGCTAAAATGTCTAAATACCTGTTATTTCAGTTTGCCAAGTTTAACAGTTTAATCTTTACATTTAGCTGAACTGTGAAATTAGCAGTTTGTGCTAAATTTGGTAACTGATTGCTGAAGTTGTTGAATAGCTGAAGTAAGCTGGAACTAAGCTAAACTGTGAAATGAGCTGAATGTAGTGAAAGATGTGAAAGCAAAAAGCACCAAGAAGCAAAAAAAAAAAAAAAAAAAACGCACAAAAAGTAAGTGAAGAATCAAGAAAACTAATCCTAAATAGCAGAAAACTCAAATCTGTGAACACTGTTTAAAAAAATTGGACAGCTAAAATGTCTAAATACCTGTTATTTCAGTAGGACTAGTTTAACAGTTTACTTTTTATATTTAGTTGAACTGTGAAATGAGTAGCATAAGCCAAATTCAGAAACGGATTGCTGAAGCTGCTGAATAGCTGAGGTGAAGCTGAAACTAAGCTAAACTGTCAAAATGAGCTGAATGTATTTAAAGATTTATAAGCAAAAATCACCAACAAGTGTAATAAAGCTCAGAATATAGGTGAAGAATGGAGAAAAATGATAAACAGCAGACAATTTTAATCTTTGAACATTTATTAAAAACTCGAAATTTGAAATGTTAAACAGCTGGCATTTGAATGAGGATAGTTTAACGGGTACATTTTTACAATTGGCTGGACTGTGAATTGAGAAATATTTGCTGATATCTGAAACTGATAGATTAACATATGTTCAGATATGATATGGGATGGATGAAGGGTTGGATGAATGAAATAACGGATGGATTGTTGGATGGATGTTAGATGGTTTATTGGATGGATGGATGGATGGATGGATGGATGGATGGATGGATGGATGGATGGATGGATGGACGGACGGACGGACGGACGGATGGATGGATGGAAACATGTATGGATTCATATGTAGATGGATGGATTCCTTAGGCCAAGCCGATCAATTTGATGTCTCACATGCGTGGGTGTGTAATTCCATTTAGCCAGAAGATGATTTACCTCTCTCAACCAATCAGGGAGCTGAGGGAGCGGGGCACTTTCCCACCTTCTGACGGTCAATCAAATTGAACTTTTTTCTAGTTTTAAGTACAAACAGTTCAAAACGATCAAAAACAGGAGTCTGTTAATGGCTCAATATTCTGCTTTTTATATTCATTCCTATGAGACTTGGTTAAAGTGATTTGTAGTTCCTTGTGTTGTCATGGTAACAGATAACGCATTTTAAATTGAATACAAGATTCATGAGACCAAACTGGTCGGTTGATGCATCATTTGTGTGGGTGCTGGATCCTGACTGGACAGAAAATGGTTGAACACTCTCAACCAATCAGAGAGCAGCACTGCCTTTTCCCCCAGCTATTTTTAGGCCTGCAGCTGTACTCCTGTTAATGAGAGAAGCCTTTAAATATGTCCTTCAGAAGTGAAATTGGACCTGTCAAACTTCTCATCACCATTCGAAAAGTACTGCACCAATTTGAAAAATTCAAAAAGCGCGAGCGGCAGAAGACTTTGATGATCATCTGTGACAATTTTTATGTGCCTACCATGAATTATCTAGAAGCTATGACGAGAAACTTTTAGCTGTCTGAAGCCGATCAGAGGAGAAAATCTCTGTTCCTTTAACATGGGTTTCAATGAGAGAAAAGCTGGGTCTCTCCTCTTTCTGGGGCTTGTAGCGAACGAAGGGTAACACTTACAGATAAAATGAAACCCATTCTGAAAAGCTGACAAAAAATTCCTACTTTTTGAGATATAATTTGTTTTAGTAGTCCAAACGGTCTGGGGGTAGTAAAGAGTTGTTCACAGAAGATGTGAAGTTCAAAACTTTGAGTGCGGAATTTTCAATTTAGAGTGAAGAGAGACCTTTTTTTAAATTTGAATTTTCTCAAACAAATCAACCGTACGACCACAATGTTTGGAGTACAGTCATGGATTATAGCTCAAAACGAAGGCATATTCGTTAGCTGTAAGCCAGCATGTGTCTCATTTCAATCGGACCTACGGTTCTCTCAGGACAACGCCGGAAATGGAGCAAGGGAGGGTCACTGCTCCTATCTTTCCCCATTATAACTTTTGTGAATTTTTCTGAAAATTTCAAGTAGTACCTCAACTTCTACCTGCGATTTTAGAAAAACCGTAAAAGATAGCAAAAAGCCTCTTTAATATGTTAAACAGGAAAGTCGTGTGAGTCTGTTAAACTTTGAATGAAGTCCCTAAGTTAAAAGGAACCCTATAGAGTTTTAGGTCAAAAAAGTGATAGGAATTTGCTGAAAATTGACCAATCCCATTCATTTCAATGGGAAATTTTTCGCAGGAAAAGCTTAATAACTCGAAAAATTTTAAAGATATTAATGCCAAAAGTAATAGCCGGAAAGAGCTTAATGTGCTGAACATTTTGATATAAAATTGTTGAAATAGCTCAAAATTTGAAGGAGAAGAAGAGGTTCAAAAAGTGTACGGAAGCAGAATAAGAAGAAAAGAGGAAAACATAGTTTGAATGCTTAACAGCATTCAAACAATAAACAACGGGTTTGATGTATCTCTACAGCCACTATAACTGATGATTCTCAAAGCTCTTTTCTGTAAAATAAATAAGGGTTTTGTATTGCTTTTGTATGTTGCTCCCCAGATTTCTACACAATATGTCAAGTATGGAACAATCAGTGAATTGTACAATGCCAACAAACCAGAAATAGTCACTAAAAACTTGACTCTATGTAATACTCCTAAGGATTTGGCAATTTTACCTTTTATGGGATTTCCATGACAAGTCTTCATCAATAAGAACTCCAAGAAATTTAGTTTATTTTACTCTTTGAATTGCAATCCCATCTATTTCCATTGACACATCACTGTTCTTTTTATCATTAAACAGTATAAAATTTGTTTTATTAAGATTAAGTGTCAATCTATTTATATCAAACCAGTTTTTAATTT